AGCTGACAATAATTATAAGAAAATGCCGCCGAAACCGGTTTGGCTCAGTGGATAGAGCGTCGGCCTGCAGACTGAAAGGTCCCAGGTTCGATTCCGGTCAAGGGCATGTACCTGGGTTGCGGGCACATCCCCAGTGGGAGATGTGCAGGAGGCAGCTGATCGATGTTTCTCTCTCATCGATGTTTCTAACTTTCTATCTCTCTCCCTTCCTCTCTGTGAAAAATCAATAAAATATAAAAAAAAAAAAATGCCTAGGTGCCTCCCAGGCGGCCCTCTACATAAACAACAGATATTTGTGGAATCAAGGAATAAACATGTTACATTTTTATAACAACTTTGTTAGCAGAACAGATTTTGTAATCTACATTTTGCACAGTAGGCAATTGTCTAAAAACTGAACTGGTTTTTGTCTTAGTAGTCGTATACAGGTAAGCCAGAACCTGGGTCCCAAGTCTTCTGACTTTACATTGAGTGTTTTTTCTGTGTGTTTTTAGTACACTTAAAAGTCACCATCAGCCTTTAAGGTTAATAATATTAGATTAGAATAAAGTATAGTGAGAAGAGAAGGAACACATACCACCCAAGTTAACTACAAAGTGGTCCTTTTATCAATCCTGGATCATTGTCACAATCCTGGTCCTGGCCCCAAGTTCCATGACCATGGTCCCTTTAAACTCCTTCACTTCCTTCTGCCATCTGCCTCAAGGCCTCCTGCACTCTGACAACAGAATGTATATGCAGCCCTCCTCTGACAGCTCCCAGATCCTTCTTGGCATTCTTACTGCCTCTTTCTCACTTTCTAAATCTGACCCCTTCCATTCAACAAAGAGACTGCTGAGTGTAGCCCAGCTAGCTGTCAGTGAAGTCACAGGGAAGAGCCAACTTTACATTTTCCCAAACCCAGATCTGTTCTCTTCCAGCTCTGAGGTCTGGTTTCCATACTTTGTTTTCCCAGTCAGACAGGAGCAACCTGGCCACTCAGGCTCCTGACACGGAGATTGCCACGTGCTGCCAGCTGAGGTTTGGTGGTCTTCAGTATCATATGGAACAAGTGAGGCATCTCTGGTGCCTGCCGCTAGTACAGGCTTTTTGGGATGCAGATTTTTGAAAGTGCTGACAGTTCTTCTACAGTTTAATTTGGAGCAACATTTTCAAACAGAACTCAACAGACAATTAAAGCCGAGGGATTAATCTGCATTTGGTTTGTTAGAAACCCATCTTCAAGTCTCTGTGAGTACAGGGTAGAGGCTGGGGAAGGAAGGCGAGTGAGCATGGTATGTACCGGCTTTGTTTCTCATTAGGTAATGGCTAAAGAATGGAATGAAGAGAGAAAGGAATTGAAATTCTTAACTAGGAAGACCACAAAGATCTTATCTGTTTCTTGTTTATAAACCTTCACACCTCACTCCCTAGACATGGACACTGTCTAGTTTTTAGGTCCTTTGCCTTGACTTCACCACTTTTCCCCAAATGCTATTCTTTAACCCTTTAAGAACTTCACAAAATAGAAATGGCACATAAATATTTCACAAAATATTTTAAAATGGAATACAAAGGTTTTTAAAAACCCTTTCAGATAGCTATTTAGTGCTAATTTTACATACAAGTAGATACATATATGAACATCAGTAAATTAAGGTAAAAATAATTAGCACTTTGGGGTCCTACTCATAATGGGTACTTAAAAATTCTACTGGAAAGACCTAATGTCTTACTACCTCTGAGGTTTGCCTAGCAGTGTCCACCATGGGGTAGAATCTCAACAAATTTATCTTAAACAAAGGAATGAGAATTTATATCCATTCCACTAGAAATAAACAATTTCATTCCAATAGGTAATAAAAAAAATTATCTCTGTGTTAACACAATGGGTAACTTTGGAGAGAAGCAATCAATGATTTGTTTATATATTTTAACATTTTTATTGTTAAAATATCAGCATGTGCATCACTTTGGTTATAATACTGCTAGAGGCCCATTGCACAAAATTTGTGCACTCATGGGGCGGCCCTCAGCCTGGCCTGTGCCTTCTCTCAGTCCGGGAGTCCTCGGGGGATGTCCACCGCAGCTGTGCTCACCAGCCATGAGCCCGGCTTCTGGCTGAATGGTGCTCTCCCTGTGGGAGCACACTGACCACCAGGGAACAGCTCCTGCATCAAGCAGGATCGGGCCAAAACTGGATCTCCGACATCCCCTGAGGGGTCCCGGGTTGTGAGAGGGAGCAGGCCAGGCTAAGGGACCCCACCGGTGCACAGTCGAGGCTGGGGAGGGATGCAGGAGGTTGTTCAGGGGTTATCCAACCAGTCTCGCTCAGTCCCGATCGGCTAGACCCCAGCAGCAAGTTAACCTACCAGTTGGAGCATCTGCCCCCTGGAGGTCAGACGTCATAGCGAGCGATTGAGCGGCCTTAGCATATCATTAGCATATTACACTTTGATTAGTTGAATGGATGACCAGACACTTAGCATATTAGGCTTTTATTATATAGGATTCTGCAGAGCTTGGCCTTGAGCTAGTATCTCCTTTTCAATGTGGTCAATGTAACACTGTCACTCTGAACCCTACTGACTTACTGGGACTTGACTAGGAGCTCTTTTCTGTATATCCCTAGGACCATACATTTTTCCTTTCTCTTTCTACAACAGTACCACTTACCCCGGGAGCAGTTTGTTGTGTTGTTATTTGGGGGAGGGGGACAGTTGTTTCATTTTTTTCTGTTCACAAAAATAAGGTCTCCAAAAATTCTTTATTATCTCGTGAAGCATGTGGTCAGCATCAAGCAGGAAGCTTGGTTGTTGTTGTTCTTTTGTGGGTTTTTTTTTTCCAGATTTCCTATCAACAGAAATATGATTCTACTGGTTGAAAGTATCCCGTCCTTTTTTTCTACTATTCACAGCTTTGTCTTTAGAATTGTATTGAGTAATTTAGATTTATCTCTTTTACAGGGTGTTTTATTAGTAATGCTTAGTCTGATGGGTTCTTGCCAGGAAATGTTTTTCCTATCAGGGTCAGAGTAGGAGTTTAGTTTATAGCATACTGAGCATGTGACATTGTCTTGCTTCATTCTACATTTAATTTTTTGCTTTTAGTCAGCACTCTGGCCCACTCTTCTGTTTTACACTAAAAAAAATTTAGAACTTAAAAACTGCCCTCCTATTTTAGTCATCATTATTAGAATATTGCTAGAACCCATACTCCTGGCATTTGTTCATATAGTAGCATTGACAGGACCCTGGTTTTCATGAGGACAGAGGCTGTTGAATCCCTTACTCTTAAGTTGCTTAAATCATCACTGGCCTAATATTGCACTTATATCTTTAATAACTATGTACATTTATGTGTGTATGCACTTATGAGCTAGACTTCCACAGGTTTGCAATGTCAGATTCTAGACCTGAGTTCAGTGATTATGGACTTTGATCTGAAGTGCCCTTCCCTACCTCCCTCCATCACATTGGAAGAACTGCCCGAGAGCAGGGAACAAGAGGCATATTGATCTGGTGAGCATGATCACCCAGGACAGATGTCACAGCCAGGTCAAAACTGGTGCCCTGACTCTACTCTAGCAGTGAACTGCCCAAGGAGCATCTCTGGTGTGGCTTTCCTCTTACAGGAAGAAAGCTTTTCTGGTCTTGAGCACAGTCAGTTTATTTCACTTTCACTTATAATAGACTTGTTACCTTGTAATTATCTTCTTTTTTTCCCCCTAGGAAGAATCAACTAATTTATCAGCAAAATATAATTATTAACACCTGAACCGTCATATCCCAAAGAAATATATATGAAATTGGCTCCACCAAAGAAATTTTGTATACCTATTTAAACACCATCATATATGACAAAAAATAAAAAACTAGTTATATATTTAGAATCAGCAGATGTCAGTTCAAAAAGTTGATTATAGTTCTTAGCCTTTGTCTCAACTTTCCTAAGTAAGCAATAGCTTAAATGACATTTGGGGAAAGATTCTTCTTAGCACTGTTACTGTTAACACATAGTAGGGTTTTCCCTGTTCTGCAGAGAAGGAATTCTCAGGACATGCAATTAATTTAGAAGACATTCTGAAATATTCCAGTCCAGTGAAAGTGATTGTTTTGGAATTATAATTAAGCAGTATTTTGTTTTTATGGGGTTTTTATTTCTTGCAAATTTAACTGCTTTCATTATAATAAAAGCTGTGTTTGAACCCTGTGACTACCAGGACCCATCACATGCATTATTATCTTCATAATCCTCACTATAAACCTACGAGATTGGCACTGTTTTTATACTCATTGTAGAAGAGAAAACTGGGCTCACAGTCTTCTTGCAGAAATTATAGCATGTAGCTTATGAAATTGGGGTTTGATCCAAGATCATCTGACTGCAGACTCTTACATGGTTGTTTTGTGTGTGCCTGCTTTGGAGTGAAGTGCGTTCACTAATTCTGTGTCATCTGAAATCTTGTATTTTGTCCAGTTTTTATCTTGCCTTATAGGATCAGACTGAGTGTGGTTTTGTCAGAAGTTTCTCCCAGAAGTAATCTTTTAAAGATCAAAATAGTTATTCTGCATAATAATTTGACTTTTACCTTTGGAAGTATGATGTTATAAAATACATTGAGCAGATGTTTTATAAGTTTTGGTAAATATCTTACTATTGACTGTTTTATGTCTGTTAACTTGAGTGGGTATATGCTTATATGTGAAGAATACATATATGAAGAAACCAAAGGACATTTTAAAGTTTCAGTTTTGAAGGAGACTGACCAACATTTATAGAGAACATAAACAATGACAGAATGGAAAAATAATGAAAGAAAACTCTTAAGTAATTTAAACTTTTTTTTAAGCCTGCACAAAAATAGTCCTTTCACCATTTGGTTCTCAAAAGGAAATAGACAATGGTGGTGTTACTTTCTGTTTCTCCTTAGGAAACTACTGTGCACAGCAAAGCCATCAGGGGGACGGGCAGCTTGTGTTTCCATTAAATGCCTTTTCCCTCTCCCATCTTGATTTCAGGTGTCAGAAACTATTTAAAAGAAGCATTGGTGAATATAATTGCAGTGCATGCAGAGGTAAGCTATCATTAGATGTTCCTAAGACGTATAGGTAACTGGAAAAAAGAAAAAGGGGGCTAATATGGTGGTTTTTCCCAAAAAAATATTTTGTGCATTCCTTTGTTTTAAACACATTCAAGTCAGGATAAGTCACCATAATGCACCATTTCTCCTTATTTTAAACCTTCTTTCAGGTGTTCACTATTTCCAAAGAATTGGTGCCTCGGGTCCTGTCCAGGGTGGTGGAAGCAGTGTCTGAAGAGCTCAGTAGACTAATGCAGTGTGTGTCATCCTTCAGCAAAAATGGAGCATTACAGGTATCAAAACCATTCCAGTCCATGTCAGACTATATTCCATTTAAACATGCACATGTGTTTTTAGTCATCAATCTTATGATAGACAGAGGAGTTTATTTGGTTGGGGCGTGTGTGTGTGTGTGTGTGTGTGTGTGTGTGTGCGCGCGCGTGTTTTGATGGATCTGCTGATTTGAGGTGCACACCATCTCTCTTGCATAAGCCCTACCCATCCTGCCTTGTCTACAAGTTCCAGAGTTCCTGTGTCCTTAGAGCAGGGCAAGACCTTACTTACCATATAAAATTATCTGAATGCAGATTCCCTCTAAAGTTCTGTGATATTTTTCTTTTTATTTTTTAGTTGTTTCACTATATTTAATTTCACAACAAATTTTTAACAACTTTTAACAAGTCTTTCTAAACTACTCAATGTAGTTTGCATAGAAATGACAGATAACTGTCTCTTTGCACTTATATTCCATTGGTTTATGTTGTAGCTATTTAAGTTACACAATTACAATAACAAATATAACTTACATAAACCAGATGATTCTTGGTATGCATATAACCAAATTGGTAGGAGCCAAGGTGTGAAGGCATATGGGAGAGTGATATCCTGCATGGGAGCTTTCATTGACCTGAAACATTGTGTGTTTTTAATAAGTCCTGGCAATTTTCTTCCAATAATGGCTGAAGAAGCTCTTACCAGGCCAAGCCCCTACAGATAACAACTATAATCTTCAATATATAAAAATTTTTAAATTCCAAAAGAAAAACAAAAACATGAAGACAGTGAAGAAGTGACCATTAGTGAGTGATTCTAGGAGAAATGACGCTTGGGTGTTATTTAGGCTTGAAGAATAGGGAAACCACAACTACAGGCAAGCGAGGAATGTAACCCAGAAAGCAGAAAGCAAGACCTACAAATCATGTATTTACACTGCTTAAGTCTCTAGTTGACCCCTAAACTGTGTATGCATGGCTGACTCCACTACAGCCAGCCCAATTAAGGCCAAAATGACTGAAGTAAGAGTTAAAATGCTGCGCAAGAGCCAAGAGTTTTCAGTTTCCCTCCAAATAACTAAATTGCTTACTAAAACAAGCAAAACAGATCAACACTCTTCAGAGGCATATTGCAGAATCCAAAGTCTCCACAGCACAACATGCACAATTTCTAGGATACAATCCAAATTTCATTGGAACATACAGACAGAACAAAACAGGAAAGCATGACCCATTTTCAATAGAAAAGACAATCAACAGATGATCCAGGTGTTGGGATACAAAGACAAAGATTTTAAAGCAGTTATGTTCAGTGATATAAAGGAGACTGTGATCAAATGAATGAAAAGATAGGAAATCTCAGCAGAAAAAGAGAAACCTTAAAAAAGAAACTAAATGGAAATTCTAGAATGGAATACATAAATGTGATTTTTTTTTTTTTTTGCAATCTAGTTCAGAATCATTGCAGAATAGAAAGGACAAAAGAAAAAGTGAATTTGTAGATTAACACAAATTATCCCATATGAAAAACAGAGAAAAGAATACTTGGGAGAAAATTAACAGAGTTCTAGGAACCCCTTGGGCAACGTCCAAAGTTCTAGCATATACATAATTCAATATACAGAGGAGTCAGTATGGCCAATGAGCACGTGAAAGGATGATCAGCATCATCAATTGGAGCTCTCACACATTGTTGGGAGCATAAATCTTACAACTACTTTGGGAAAAACTCTTGCAGTCTCTTTGAAAACTAAACATATACATTCTCTATGACCCAGCTATTCTAATCCTAGGCATTTAACCAAGAGAACTAAAAACATACCTTCATAAAAAAAAAGCATATAAGATGCTCATAACCATTTCCTTCATAGTAGTCAAAAGCTGGAAACAGCCCAGGTGTCCATCAACAGAATAAACAAAACAACTGTGGTATGTTTATATAACCAAATACTATTCAGCATTAAGAAGGACAAACTACTGGTACCACCTGTATGAATCCCAGGAGCATTCAGCTGAGTGAAGGAAGCCTTACCCCAAAGCACACATATGATTATATGGGTTTCTCATCTATGGTAGAAAAAAATCTCAGGAAAATGCTTTCCTCTGGGTAGTTGAGATTAAGTGGGAAGGGGCCTGAAGGAGCTTCATAGGGTGGTGGTTCTATACCTGGATATGGGTTTCCATTGCTCAGGTATATGCATCAGTCAAAACTGATCAAATGGTATACTGTAAGACTTATCCATTGTGTAATATGTAAGTTTTAACTCAAAACATAAAAAAGAATTGAATCAGTCTACTTAGTTAATCATGCATACTGAATTACATCAAAGCACTGTGGTGGGCTGATAGTTGAATGGATAAATGGTAGTGCTAGTAAGTATTAATGGTTGAGTCTATGGGTCTACAAGTGTTCGCTGTAAAATCCTTTCAGTCTATACATTTGAAAATTTCTGTACAAAAATATGGTAGGCAAAAGGAATGGAGAGCCCTTGTTAACTTGGCATGCTGGTTAGGGGAAAATTGCTGCTGTATTTTCAGTTGCCACCCAATTTTCTCTAAAAATTTGATTTGTCAAACTTTTGATATACAGTTAAAAGGTCATGATTATTATACTAGTCCTATTGCAAGAGAGCAGTAGCATAAATGTTGAGGTACTGAACATTAATTAAAAGGAAGTTGTAGTAACTACAGTTTGACCTGACCTAGGAAGTTTGGAATTATAACAAGAATCTCCCCTCCAGGCAAATTACCTTTGCAACCTATTTACCTGATGGTAAAATTCCTGTCAAAGCTAGCAGGAAGAAGTTAGGGAGAGATATCAGAATCAGCAACTTTTTCCATGTACAACAGGTCCTCAAATAACATTGTTTTGTTCAAAGTCATCTATGTATAAAGAAAGCTAAGTGTCCATCCTTCCCTCGGACTAGTAGCTATGATGCACACTGACCACTGGGGTGCAGGTGCTCAACGCAGGTGCTCAACGCAGGTGCTGCCATGATGCACACTGGCCATTTAAAAATAAACGGCACCACAGACCTGGTGCCGACAAACCAACACTCGGCTTCCCCCAAGTGGGACTCAGACCCCGCCACCACCCCAGTGCGACACCCCACCAAATCGCAGCCAATGTTACCAAGACCCCATGGCACAAAATTTGGCACCCAGCCCAGCCCAGCCTGAAAATGGTCACTGTGGGCGCCAGGTAATGATGTCACATAGCAACGCCTGGCTTCCTCTCCCTAGCAACTGGCCTCCTTGCAGTTTCTTCAGCCCAAGAGCACAACTTACTTTATGGCCAGGTGCAAACATTTTACAGTTCAACCAAATGTCTGTGAAGCATTTTCATGTGCCTCACCTCATTTAATACTCACAGAAGTCCTGGAGTAGGTAGATAGGAGACTCCGTAGAATCCTATTTTCTTTTCATTAGCAAGACAATGGAGATTAGGAAGTTTAGAAACTTGACCCGACTGAAAAGAAGTGAGAAATGGTGGAACTTGAAAATGACTTCAGGTTTTCTCACTGTGCAGAATATAGTCAAACACTGCTGCAGTTAAATACTTTACCCTTTGTTCTCCCTGCATGATCTACAATAATAGTCTGCTTCGTGTTGATATTTACTGCTGTGTTCCTGACAATTACCTGAAAGAGAAGTTGGGGTGCTTCACTGGGCTGGAAAAGTTTAGTTAAATCAGAAAGCAGGTCTAATTAAGCAATTTATCTATATATATAAAAGGCTGTTTACTCGCCCATGCGCAATGCATATAAAGCTCTCGGCACCAATCGCACATGTGTTTCGATCTGTCATTGTCGATCGTGAATTTGGTTGACACTTCTATTATAGAGAAAGGGCAAACAGCAATATTAAAATATTCCTTCTAATTAATTTCCTTTCAATGTGCACAAATCCGTGCACCGGGACACTAGTTTCATTATAACATTGATAAAAAAAAAATTGATTACTGTCTGGGGCCACTGTCTGCTTGGGATTTGCACATTCTCCCCACGGCTGCGAGGGTTTCCTCCCACACCCCAGAGCTGTGCACTTGTCTACACTGTCCCAGTCTGTGAGTGTGGGGTGCATGATGTGTCCCTCAATGAAGGGCATCCTATCCAGGGTGGGGCCTGCCTGCGCCTTAGGCTGCCAGGTTCGGCTTCTGCCACCCAGGCTCCTGAAATGGAATGAGTGGGTTGAAAATAATGATTTTATTTGTTTTTATTAATCTTTCTTAAATGTATGTATAGCTCCCAGTTATTTCAATGTTTAATATTAGCAGTGTTTGGGATCCTTATTTAGAAGTTTAGCAATGGTTTTTTGACCATAAATATGCCATAGGAACGTAACTCTTGTTTCTAGCAATTAGCCTGTGGTAAAATTGGTTTTGTTGAATATCGTTTCTCTTAAAGTTGCAGTTTCCAAGAACCTGTCAATTGAGTGAGGACTTACCAGTCGTATGTCTAGGAGATCACCAGCCACCATGACTATCTGGTCCCTAACATGTTGACACTTCCTTGGAACTTGGCTGCCCCACTTTGCCCTTTCTTATTGAAATTCCTGTTTTTGACACCTTTCTCTTGAGCAGATACCTGAGAAAGACTACAGGTTAATGATCTCTAGTGATCATTTACATGGAAGGCCAGTGCATCAGTCTTCAAACCCTCCAGAGAGCCAGTTGAGAGGCGTGGAGAGACAGCCTGAGGATTTTAGCTATCTTTTAGCATGATGTTTTTTTGCATACATTTTTTGTATATTTTATAAATAGTCACAACTTATAATTGGCATAATTCATAGGTTAATTAAAACACTTTGTTTGAATAAAATTTCTACATGGAGATTAATTTTACAGTGGCTTATTTAATCCTTCTAAAATATTCAACTAAAAGTTCTACCTTATTTTTGTCTTTGATATTTTCTTAATAGGTATGTTTTTTACATAAACTACAGTACAAACAGTAGAAGTAGTTTATCATACATATACTTTCTAGTTATAAACTATTTTTCAGGCTTCTAAAGCACTGAAAAATGAAACCAAACAATAGCCTAACTGGTTTGGCTCAGTGGATAGAGCATCGACCTGTGGACTGAAAGGTCCCAGGTTCAATTCTGGTCAAGGGCATGTACCTTGGTTGAAGTCCCCAGTAGGAGGTGTGCAGGAGGCAGCTGATCGATGTTTCTCTCTCATTGATGTTTCTACCTCTCTATCCCTCGCCCTTCCTCTCTGTAAAAAATCAGTGAAATATATTTTAAAAAAAACAATCACTTTCCAAACAGAAAAATTTTACTGAATATACTGTATCTTGGATAAATCAGCTTTTATCTAGATTGCTTACAGATTTTGTAATTAACTCTAATTTGAATAGCTAGCCATGTCATTTATGATTGTTTTACATTTTACGCACTCCTGGAAAATAGGGCTGTTTCTTCTAAGTGGTCTCCTGAGCATCAGCCATACTCTGGGTGCCTGAGTCAGAGGTAGAGGGTGTGGGCTTTCTCATCAGAGGCACCTGTAGAACTTTGAGGAAAACTGGCCTGTAAGTAAAGTCACACTTCTTCAAGCTTGCAAATAAGTGTAAGCATTAGGTTAGCTTTTCTGCCATAAAAGTTTGTGCAGATATAATTCATATACCATACAGTATGTCTATAGGATAAAGAGTATACAGTTCAGTGATTTTTTAACTATGTTCACAGAATTGTGTAATCACCACAATCAATTTTGGAAAATGACATCACCCCAGAAAGGAACCCCAGGCCCATTAACAGTCACTCTCTTTTCCCCCACCTACAGCATGAGACAAGCACAAGTCTGTTTTCTATCTGTATGGTTTGCATATTCTGAAAGTTTCATATAAACAGCATCATATAAGTACAGCTTTTTGTGACTGATCTCCCTCACTTAGCATAATGTTTGCAAGGTTCATCATGCTGCAGCATGGATCAGCACAGCATTTCTTTTATGGCTGCATAATATTCCATTGTATAAACATACCATATTTTATTTACCCATTCATCATCTGATGAATATTTGGATTGTTTCCACTTTGGGCTATTATGAAGAATGCCTCTGTGAACATTCATTTGCAAGTTTTTTTGTGGACATGTTTTCATATATCTTGGCTATATACCTAGAAGTGGAATTGCTAGGTCATGTGTTTACTCTGTTTCATCTTTAATTGAACTGTGGACTATTTTCAGAGTGACTGTATCATTTTACTTTCCTGCCAGCAATGCATGAGATTCCAGTTTTTCTACATCCTTCCCAGTATATGTCACTGGTATCTTTCAGATGACAGCCATCCTTATGTGTGAGAAATGTTATCTCATTCTTTTCACTTTCTTGATGGTTTCCTTTTGAATGCAGGACTTTTTTAATCTTGGTGAGGTCCAACTTGTATATTTTTCCTTTATTGCTTTTACTTAGATATCATTTCTAAGAAAGCTTGCCCAACCTAACATCATAGAGATTGATTCCTGTTTTCTTCTAAGCGTTTTATAATTTTGTTGCTTACATTTAGGTCTATTTTGAGTTCGTTTTTGTGTTAAGGAAGGGTTCTAATTTGCATGAGAATGTCCAGTTGCCCCAGCATCACTTGTTGAAGAGACTATTCTTGGCCCATTGAATGGTCTCAGCACCCTTGTCAAAAATCAGTTGATCATAAATGCAAGAGTTCATTTCTGGGTACTCAGTCTGTATTCTGTTTATCTACGTGTCTGTCCATGTACCATTGTCACACTGCCTTGATTATTGTAGCTTTGTAGTAAGTTTTGACATTAGGAGGTGTAAATTTCTCCAACTGTATTCTTTTTCAAGACTGTTTTTGTATGTTTGGAATCAACTTGTCAATTTTTGTTTTTTAAAAAAGCCATCTGTGATTTTAATAGGCATTGCATTGACTCTGTAGAGCTTTAGCTTAATTTTTGAGGTTAAAGGCAGTGTGCCTGGAAGTGCATATGTTTAAGGAAATAAGCCAGCCCACATCCTCAAATCTGTGCAGGAGGGAACAGGCCAGGGACAGTGTTTCAGACTCTCCTTCCTCTCACAGGCAGGCTAATAGGAAAATTACTGTTTAGATAGTAAACACAGATTGCTGGGAAATCCTTGTGTAGTTCGCACCTTTTACAGCAAAATATCTCACTCTCTGCCTTCACTCAGTCATACTTGACTGTAAGTTAATTTTCAGTCAAAGGAAATCTTGTCATAGCCAACTTTTTTGGACTGTTTGCGAAAGTGTGCTCTTAACTAATAGTCATGGGGCGGAGGTAACCATGCGCCTGCAGTATTCTGTCAGCACTGTTTCTGTGGTGAACAGGCTGGAGACGTCGCCCTCACTACCTTCTCATATGTGATAATCGTCACAGGTCCTGCTTGTCACTTTGTCCTTTCTTCCTCTTCAGGCGAGGCTTGAAATCTGTGCGCTGAGGGACACTGTGGCTGTCCACCTGACGCCTGAAAGCAGGTGAGACGCTGACAGTTCTTTCTGAATGTTTGCTAAAAACGGAACTGTGTTACTAGTATATAAAGCCCTTTGAAAAGATAACTGGTCAGAGTGAATGCACATGATTTTGTATGTGAAAATGTTTATATTTGATTGATCAAATTTCTAGTTAAAAAGTAGACATCTATACTAAGCCACGGATTCCTAAGACTGGTTCTTTGTAGCATAATATAAAGGGAAAAAGATGTAATGTAATTTTACATTTCTCATTCTGTAAGGTAAATGTTAGTCTCATAAATGATGGAACAGAGCATCACATTCTTCTTTAGAAAGGAGAAAATAAGAATTGAGTCTATTCATAGCAGGCCTTTCAGGACAGTTCAAACATTGTGATCGTCAGCACAAGAGGAAGCCTTGTGGTTTCTCTGCAAAATTCTGTAGTGGAAATTTGATGATAATTTGTAGCTGTTTTGAATGAAAGTCAGGATTTCCTATCATTGAAATATCAGTAGGTGAACTGAAACAGCACTGACTACTTGCTTTTACAAAATTGTTTACTCCACTGGCAACATTACCCAGGAAATGCTGGGCAATGCTGTTAATGTGCATGAGAAGCCAAGTGGTAGACAAATGTTTAGGGTCTTTGTGCAATGCACATATTCCTTCATGTCCAGCTTTTGATAACATGGCTTTTGCCATCATTCTTACTGCCATCGTTACCACAGAAAGACCTCCAAAGTTGTTTTCCTGACACAGTTAGCTTCTTTTTCCTGTTCATCATGGCCAACTAGAGCCATTTCTAGATGACTCCCATGTTATTTAACCACACCTTTTCCCAGTCATTGTTTTTTTTTAACACTAAGTACTAAGTAACAGATGATAGAAAGCATTCGTTCCATATTTGATGTGTATGCATGCCTTCTGTAAGTACCTATGTAACTCAACCCTTCATAGCCCAGGTTCCTCATTATAAAAGGAAGATAATAATACTTTATAGGCAAAGTTTTGGAGAAATTAAATGAGACAATATGCCAAGTCACCTTCTAAACTTTCAGTGCACTACAAATAATAGGTTGTATCTTCTTCATCATCATTATTGTCATAATGTCAAAATAAAGAATAGTAGCATCATATGTATGATTAATGGAAAAGAGACAGGAAATAGGATGATTATGGAGATGTGCAGAGAGAGAGGAGAGAGGAGAGCTGGTTTCATATTGTGAGGTTGCTGAGTGTGCCCACAGCTAGGCTGTCCCTGCACCCATACTCTGACCCACCAGGAACAACTGAAGGGATCAAGTGCCAGTTTTTATGACTGTGTTGGGACTGTGCAATCACTCTATATATTGCTAGGATACCTGTCCCTAGTTTGGGAAATTCTGCTCAGAAGTTCTTTCCTGGTATATTGAGGATGTTTTTATAATACAAAATCAGAGACCACTTTAAAGTCATGAATAATTACATTTATTTTTATTTTTTTTTTAAATATATTTTATTGATTTTTTACAGAAAGGAAGGGAGAGAGATAGAGAGTTAGAAACATCGATGAGAGAGAAACATCGATAAGCTGCCTCCTGCACATCTCCTACTGGGGATATGCCCGCAACCCAGGTACATGCCCTTGACCGGAATCGAACCTGGGACCTTTCAGTCCACAGGCCGACGCTCTATCCACTGAGCCAAACCGGTTTCGGCAATAATTACATTTATTTATTCACCTTTCTCTTAGTGAACGGTAGAGCATTGGCCCACACACCAAAGGGTCGTGGGTTCAAATTCAGTCAAGGGCATGTATCTGGGTTGCAGGTTCGAACCCCAGCCCCGGTCAGGGTTCATGCAGGAGGCAACAAATCCATGTGTCTCTCTCACATGGATGTCCTTTTCTCTCTCTCTCTCTCTCTCTCTCTCTCTCTCTCTCTCTCTCTCTCTCTCTTCCTCTCTCTCTCTCTCCCTACCTTCCTCCTTCTCTCCCTCCTTCCTTCCATCTCCCTTCTTCCTCCCTCCCACTCTCTCTAAAAATCAATGGAAAAAAATATCATTGAGTCAGGATTAACAAATAAATGAATTCACTTTTCTTTTTCATGAAATGAAATAATGATAACTTTTAAAAATATATATATATACATCTCTCCATTATCCTAAAAATTTTAAACATAATAATAGCTAAATTCTATTTAAAAAAAAAAAAAACTGTTCAGTCATTATAAGATATTGGCTGTAAATCTGACCTAGACACATCAATACTATAAATGTCCCCATTTGTGTAATCTTTCACAGGATCATATTTCTACTTAGTTTTCCTTCCTTTCTGACCAGTTGCTTTATCTAGAGTTCAGTTTTGTTTTGAAATAAAGACTTTTTTGAAAAAGTAATTGTCCTCATTTAACTTTCACCAACCAAATTGAATAGCATCCTTTTATAAAATTCCATTTTTCCTTTAGTTTTTCAAGTTCTGTTTCATTTCCTAAACAAGTTTTTGACCCTGCTCCCTCAAAGCCTCTGGAACTAGACCTTTACTTTTACTTTTTCTGTTGTTTTTCACTTGTGCTTTTTTTCACATACCTACATGCTTCCCTGTTCATACTGGTTTCTTCATGTTTAAGAGGCCCTAATGGTGCTCTAATCCCCATGAGAAACGTCAGTGTTTCAGCTCCGTGTTGCTGCTTGTGTTCCAGGTCCAGTTTTAAGCAGGCTCTGGAAGCGCTGCCCCAGCTTTCCAGCGGAGCAGACAAAAAGTAAGTGCTCTGTGCTTTCCTGGGAGCCAGGCAGACATGCTGAGCGCAGTGCGGCTACCTGAAAGTACTCTTTCTAAAACAATGACTTGGATTTAAGGAAGAGCAGTATTTAGTAGCCCTTCGTAGTATGCATCATGCTAGCTGTGCCTTGCTTGTCTCCCAGTGGCAGAATATGGAAAAACCCTTCTTCTGGCTTTATGGCAATTTAGAAATTAGTTATTTTCTTGGTTTAAGTGACTAGTATAGAAAACGTCATAAGAAAGTTTTTTTCGACTCAGTCAATTATATCTCTCTTAAATGTTGAAGAAGATACTACTTAGAAATTAAAAGAGAGGACAGCGTAGTAAAATGCAGGGCCCAATGATTTGTACTCTCCATATATAAAGTATTAAGAGAGAATAGATTTGTAAATATGATATAATGAAGTTAGATATGTTTCACTAGTGCTATATTGATTATCTCAGTCTGAATTTAAACTTTGTTACTCATGTAACAGGAAATTCTGACCTGAGACAAAAATCTAGGCCAGGTCAATTTCATAAATGCCCAGCCTACCTTCAGCTGAGGCAGTGGAAACATTGTAGATCTTTGGTCCTCCAAGGTAACTGAAGTCCACCCACCTTTGCATTTGGCTGATCAACCCCTAAACAAATATTTATGGGGGTGATCAACTACATGATCCCTGGCATCTGACACAGGTGATGTTGTGCAAACTTAAAGGGCAGAGAAAATGCATGGGGTTGGCTGACAGTAGGAGTGTCATGGGGACACGTGGACTGGGCTGGGAAGAGTCGGCAGCAGACCAGTTCTTTTGCTTGTATGTTCCTGTGTATGTTCCTGAATGGGCAAGTGATGGCTGTGCAGTGTTCACACCTACAACCCTCTGCCAGTTTTTTACTTCCTTTTTCTCACACTAATTCTCAAGCTCTATCTGAATTTATGACAAACTGTGTTCATTTATTTAAAATAAATATGATAAAAGATTAAAACAATTACCATTATTTTTAACATATAGAACATGGCTCCAAAGGCTAGTGCTTTTTGCAGGGAGTCAAGAAGAACAGTCACTCTGTTATAGTCCTGGGTGGACTGTGTTCTAGATCTGTTGGTACAGTGTCCTAATACTGAGCATTGTCAACCCCTGAAATAATCTCTGGATCCCAGTAGCAGTAAGCCCACTTCTTGGTTGCTTCATCTGAACCAGATGAATCTAAGATCCCTTCTGGACTTAAAATTACATGGACAAATCAGATCAATTAAGAAAACAAAGTGACTTGTAAAGCAGTAGAATGACTTGCCCAGTGGACTTAGAAGTAAACCTGATTCCTCTGGCTTTAGTTCACCACTTGCCAATATTTTTTAAAGACAAAAATACAAAAATAAGAGGAACAGAGACTAGACAAATTATTGCCCTAGGGTGGGGGTAAAGGGGAAGGTGGCTAAAAGGGGCAGCACGAGAGAACTTGGAGAAGGATGGACCTGTTCTGCATCTGGTTATGGGAATTGTTAGTCTGCTAAGTATTTAGCAGCATTCATAGAACTGTGTGCCAACAAGACTACATTTTAATTTTTGAAAAGTGAATGAAGAAAATGTACAGGTGCAAACAATCCATTTTAGGGAGGACTCTAATCTTGGGGAAGGGCACAGGAGAGATTTTTATATATAAACATAATTAAGTATCTTCCTTTTTACTCCTTTGATTAACTGATTTCGTTACTGAGTTGAATCCATCGATAAATCATGCAGTTGGCTCCCGTGCGTGTTTTCTTATGTTGCTGGACAAGCTTCCTTCTGTCGGCTGTAAATAGTCTCTGCTCCTGCAGGTTACTGGAAGAGCTGCTGAACAAGTTCAAGAGCAGTATGCACCTGCAACTCACCTGTTTCCAAGCTGCTTCTTCAGCCTTGATGAAAACATAAATGCCTCCAAAGTAAGGGTCATCCAAAGATAACAAGTGATGAAGTTATTCTCTTTAAGTGCTCTAAAGGTATTTGTATATAAAGCATTACATTTGCAGTTCTTCTCCTTTTTTCTCTCTCCTGAATTAGTAGCTTAGAAAGATGTTGGTATATGTTTTATTTCAACCAAAATACCCTTGTTTGAAATGCCAAGCTTATTAAGAAATACACAGCTTTAGGCTTTTGGCTCGGAGGAGGCTCAGATGCAACTTTCTTTGGTCGTCCCGAATCCGGGTTCATCCGACACCAGCTGCCTCCACCATTCCGCCGAAGTTCAAGTCAAACTCGTATACCTGTGGTGCACCGGTGGGGAAGTGGGTGCCACATCTGCTCTGGACCCCAAGATTGACCCCCTGAGCCTGTCTCCAAAAAAGGTTGCTGATGACGTCACCAAAGCAACCAGTGATTGGAAGGGTCTGAGAATTACAGTGAAACTGACCATTCAGAACAGACATGCCCAGATTGAGGTAGTGTCTTCTGCCTCTTCCCTGATCTTCAGAGTTTTCAAAGAACCGCCAAGAGACAGAAAGAAGCAAAAAAACATTAACCACAGTCGAAATATCACTTTTGATGAGATTGTCAGCATTGCCCGACAGATGCGGCACCGATCTGTACCAAGAGAACTTTCTGAAACCATTAAAGAGATCCTGGGGACTGCCCAGTCTGTGGACTACAATGTTGATGGCTGCCACCCTGATGATATCATGGATGATATCAACAGTGGTGCAGTGGAATGTCGGGCTAGTTAAGAACTACAAAGGAAAATATTTAAATTAAAGATTATTTGATAACCAAAAAAAAAAAAAGAAAGAAATACACAGAATATTGTCTCTCTTAAGCATGTTAACCATTGTAGCCAATAAAGAATGTCTTAAATGGAATATGTAATTTAGTTGACATTTTTTCCCTAAACATCTTTACTCAACATTTTCATTAGCTATATAACTTTTTATAGGTCTAATGTTAACACTCAGAATAAATATTTAAATTCCAGTTTACCTTATGTTTGTCTAAGCATCATCGGGAAGCTTTTGTCAGGTGTTCTGCTAATTATCTCCTTGATTAGGGCTCACCGTATGCTAGGCACTGTGCTAAATCATCTCACAGCACTTCCGGCAGGCTTTTGAGGACACTGCACTGGTGGTATTTTGTTTATGTCACAGATGAGGTGATTAAGGCTTAGAGAGCAGTTGGTGGCTTCTCTAACACTCAGAGTTGTCCGGTTCATGCTCTTTAATTTCCCCACAGCCAGCTCTTCCCGCTGGCTCTCCACCAGTGACTGTGGCTCAGGGAAGCACTCGAACGTGAGAGGGTAATAAAATATAAGTAAAATAGGAACAAGTAAGTCCTTTCGTAGCTCAGAGGATGGAGGGTAGGCACATAAAATCCCCATACCCAAATGAGGTAGTTCAAGGATTACTGTTCCAACAAGTCAAGGGCAGTTCTTGGAAGAAAGGGGAATTTTAAGAGCATTTGAAGAAGTTAATGGTTAAGAGGAAACGGCTGAATACAGTGTAAGCAGAATTCTGAGAGATTTGGAGCAAATTTACATAGAGGTAGCCAAGAAAAAAATTGAAGTTAGGTAAAGGTGTTTGCTTTCACATCCAGGTAGCATTGGGGTTTAGCACATCCACATCCATGTGGTCAACCTTGCTACTGACAGTTGGCACAGTGGGCCTCGCCATCAGTGCTGAGGAAGTACTAGGAGCAGTTTGGCTTTACTACGACTTTCTGTATCCGTGTACATGAGAGTGGCATGCTCTGGAAATGACTCCAGCATCACAAACAGCACAGTTGCTGCAGCCCCTACCTGCAGCATCCTCCTGTTTGTTAGCCTTGGTGCAGGCTTCCTAAAAGGGATGGAGGGCAAAGACTACATTTCAATTCTAGACTTGGTAAAAGATGGCCTTGTGTGTTTCTGTTTGGATTATGTGGTGTGGGATGTTTTTATTATGAGTTGCATAAGGATATTATAATGTGTTTTCCAAAAATTATCATAAATCAGCAGCTTTTAAGTAAAGCTTAGGTTTCTAAAATAAGTAAAGTTAACTATTTTATTTAATACTAGAGGCCCGGTACACAAAAATTTGTGCACTCGGGGGGGAGGGGGGGTCCTTCAGCCCGGGCCTGTGCCCTCTAGCAGTCTGGGACACCTCGGGAGATCACGACCTGCTGGTTTAGGCCTGCTCCCGGGTGGCAGAGGGCAGGCCCAATCCCTAGGGGCAGCCCCTGGTCGGGCTCAGAGCAGGGCCGATTGGGGAGTTGGGGCGCCGCCCCCTGTCATGCACAGAGCAGGGCGGATTGGGAGGTTGCGATGCCACCCTCAGTCATGCTCAGGGTAGGGCCTATTGGGGGGTTGGGGCACCGCCCCCTGTCACACTCAAGGCAAGGTCGATGGGGAGGTTGCGGCGCCATCCCCTGTCACGCACAGAGCAGGGCCAATCTGGGTTGGGGCTCTGCCCCCTGTCACGCACAGAGCAGGGCCGATCAGGGGGTTGGGGGGCCGCCACTGTCACACTCAGGGCAGGGCCGATGGGGAGGTTATGGCTCTACCCCGTCACACACAGAGCAGGGCCCGTGGGGGCTGGGGGGGTTGGGGCACCACACCCTGTCACACACAGAGCCGCAGGGCGATCAGGGGGTTGGGGAGCTGCCCCCTATCAGGCACAGAGCAGCCAATCAGGGGGTTGGGGGCGCCTTCCCCTGTCAGGAACAGAGCAGGGCCGATAGGGAGGTTGTGGCCCTGCCCCCTGTCACACACAGAGCTGCAGGGTGATCAGGGGGTTTGGGCGCTGCCCCCTGTCACGCTGATCCCGGTGCCAGGAGGCCTCTCGGCTCCGCTGATCCCGGTGCTGGGAGGCATATTACCCTTTTACTATATAGGATAGAGGCCTGGTGCACATGTGGGGGCTGGCTCGTTTGCCCTGAAGGGTGTCCTGGATCAGGGTGGGGGTCCCCACTGGGGTGCCTGGCCAGCCTGGATGAGGGGATGATGGCTGTTTGCAGCCGGTCACACACCCTTCAGGGTGGGGGTCCCCACTGGGGTGCCTGGCCAGTCTGGGTGAGGGGCTGAGGGCTGTTTTCAGGCTGGCGGGTGACTGAAGCTCCCAACTGCTCCTTTTTTTCTTTTTTCTTTTTTTTATTCTGGGCCAGCTTTAGCTCTGAGGCTCCAGCTCTTAGGCATCCGCTGCTGAAAGTAGGTATCTGGTTTGTTTAGGTTCTATAATCAAAACTCTGTATCAACTCCAGCTCTGAGATCTCAGGCTGAAAGCTGGTTTCTGGGGTTTTGTTTAGCTTCTATATTTGTTACAATGTTTTTTAAACTGCAGGCTCAGAGGCCGGCAAGGCAGGCGGGGAATGTTGGTTTCCTCCGTCACTGAAGCAAGCAAGCCTCATGTTAGTTTCAAGCTGCCTGGCTGCCAGCCGCCATCTTGGCTGGCAGTTAATTTGCATATCTCGCTGATTAGCCAATGGGAAGGGTAGCGGTCGTATGCCAATTACCATGTTTCTCTTTTATTAGATAGGATATGCTTTAAAATTATGCTTTATTATAGATTGAAACTTACATACATTTTTGTCATTAAACATTACCTAGCACTAGTATCATAAAGGTTTTCATATGGATTTATAAACTGCTCTGAAAATAGAAAGGATATACTGATACTTGACACACATACTTTAATTAAAACCACAATTGTAATGATTTTAGCCGATTTAAATGTGGATTACATCTTTTTATATAGTGGAGTCATCATGTTTTTTGTGTACTGATGCCATCTCATTTTCTCTTCACCCACATTTTACACTTAGTTTTATTGCATGTATCACTGGAAAGCCTGTTTGTACCTGGCTAGGTTATCCCATATAACAAAGACCTAATATGCTAATCAGACCTAACCGAACAACCTTCTGGACGACTGTCCAGACGACCTTCCAGATGAAGGCCGAGGCTGAGAGGGCCGGCTGAGGCAGCTGGGGCTGCGAGGGCCGAGCCCCTCGCATAAATTTGGTGCATCAGGCCTCTAGTAAATACATAACAATGAATATTTTACACACAGGATCTGGGTTCTTTGGGTTACCTTCTGTAATTTGGCTAATGAAAGCCAGTAGGATTTCAAAATACCTTTCTCCTTTCTAGACCAGACCCATCAACTCTTGGGCAAAGTTAGCCCTGGAGCTGGTCATTCCATGTTCATCACCATGAGTGTCACTGTGATTGTGTTGCACCGATCATTGTTGATACTGTTGTGATTGTTATTTTGATCATATTTTTTAATATTCCTGTTTCGCCTGCCTACAAACCCTTTCGCTAAGCACTGATCCCCGAGAGCCAGGACCACTATCTGAACTTAATTGCCAAAGAAGGCTAACAGAGAACTCGTCACAGAGGGAGAAGGAGAACCAAAGAAGAATGGGATCATAGGGTCACAAAAATCAAGGGAAGAACAAGAATCACAGTCAGAAGAAAAAATCAGATGTTGTCAGAGTTAAATATTACAGATGTGTCCAAAGAATGAGTCCTGAGAAGTGTTTGCTAGACTTGGCATTTAGAAAGTCATAAATGACTGGAGAGTGGTAAGGAAGAAACCAGAGAAACTTCACACTTTGGACTGGTTCTCTTGACTCACTGCAGGGGCTGCCGAGAGAGCTGCCTTTTCCTTGAAGAAAGTATTTTGGCCTCAGCACAGCAGTGATTCTCCTGGTGGTCAAACTTTAAGGCTCTTCCTCAGCTTCCTGCTATTTTTAAATTATCTTCCTGGGTATCTGGTCAATTCCTGTTGCCCCTGCCTCTTTGTCTGTTGGAATGACTTATAAATATTTATATCCATCCCTTTCTTTTTTCTAAAGTCTTCCCTTTCAAAATGCTTCTTAAATGTATCTAGTTAAATGACGGGCTGCTGGAATCAGGCCTCACCTGGGTGTGTATCCAATGTCAGATGACCATGGAGTTGTTTTCTGTTCCATGTTCCTAGTGCCCTGCTCTCAGCTGATCCCAGAAGCCCTTCCATGAAGTACCATGTGCAGCAGCCAGTAGCCGTTGGCCTGCCTCATTGTGGCTACTGCAGGTTCTAGCCAAGCAGCTGTCACCAAGTAAACCCTCAGGGAATATTTGTTGATTGTTACATAGTAGCAAATGTGTCACATTACCTTTTATATTTTTTAATTAAATACACACTGAGTGGCCTGATTATTATGACAACCTGACGTTTGTAGGCAAATTGGCTATAATTTCCCACTGAAGTTGCTAGAGGGCCAGACCATTATAAACGTCTGAATAGCACAACATACCTAATTATCGTTGCTGATCAAGTTCATCCTATCATGTTGATGGCGTATCCCAATGCAGATGGCTTTTTCCAACAAGACAATGCACAATGCCACGGTGCTCGTATTGTGCAGGAGTGGTTTCAAGAACATGAGGGAGACTTTACCTTGCTTAGGTGGCCCCCACAATCATCAGATCTTAATTCAGTTGAGCATTTGTGGGACGAACTTAAAAGAGCCATCAGGCAGCTGGTTCCACAACCATCAAATTGCACAGAACTGGACAGTGCTATTCATCAGGCATGTTGTCAGATTCCTCGCATCACCTTTCAACATCTCGTGGAGTCAATGCCAAGAAGAATCGCTGCAGTATTGAAGGCAAAAGGTGGCCCAACGAAGTACTGATGGGGTGGTCATAATAATCTGGCCACTCAGTGTATACTTTACAGAGCTTCCACAGAGCTGGCTGTTCAGTAGCAGTCTCTATAGCTCCCTCCCCCTTTACCTGTTCCCTAAAGCCCTCTACTCTCAATTCTTTTAGCCATTCTGATTCTTTTGACACTGACATCAATGTTTCTATCTTAAGTTCA